AAGGTCGCCGTAGGAAATGTGACTGGGATGTTATCAACAGAAATTTAAAATTCACCGTGCGGCTGCCGTGGGAAATGTGATTGCAAAAGTATGAGAGCGCAGAAATTCCACGGCGAGCGTAGAAATGTTACTAGCCGTAGAAATGATAGACCGCAAGGTCGCCGTAGGAAATGTGACTGGGGTGTAACACCCCAGTCACATTTGTCGTACGGAGGCCATGCGTCGACCGCAGATCAATTTAATCAGTGTATTTCTGCGGCGAGCGTAGGAAAACTACGCTCGCCTTGCGGCCTCCGTGCGGCGTATTCAGTTTTTTACAGGCCGCAGGGTCGCCGTAGAAATTATAACTCGGAGTTATAATATTTGTTCATTTCTGAGGTCAACTGGCTCAACAAGATTGAATCATTCTTTGTCAATGTTTCACGATCACTTCATTTGATATTACATCCTAGCACTATGAATAACATTTATAAATTGTCCCGATGTAAATAAAATGAAAAAAGTATTATTTATCAACAGAAATTTAAAATTCACCGTGCGGCTGCCGTGGGAAATGTGACTGCAAAAGTATTAGAGCGCAGAAATTCCACGGCGAGCGTAGAAATGTTACTGGCCGCAGAAATGATAGACCGCAAGGTCGCCGTAGGAAATGTGACTGCGGTTCCACTTTATTTTCAACAAGGGTGTATTTGCTAATATCAAAATAATGTTACAATTTGTATTAACTGCTGTATTCAACCATAATTTGAATGCTGTGGAATTTGTCATCTAACTTCCCTTCCTACTATTATCACGGTGTTATAGCATGACGGTTACGACACCTCTGAAAACAAGATCAGACGACTGCGATCACTGATTTATCCAATAAAATGGCCGCGATGGAACAGAAAACTAAGGTTGGTGCAGTATTTTCTTCTACTGTGTATCAATGAAAGGATGAACGATTTTTGTAGACATCGCATTCGGTGATGCATTTAGTAATGTATATTTTGAACGTATTCTTTGCAAATTGATGCCCGGGGCTAACAATGAAATAAGCGAAAAACTGTTGAGTTTGAAATTCAAAACTACACAAAATTTAGTAATTTGTTTATTTTTGTCGAAAGCCAATTGAGCATTGGAAACCACCTAATATGTTCTACTTAAGCCATAATATTGTATTTTTGATTTGCAGTTACGCCAAAAATTGATTGACGGTTGCGCGAACCTTGTTCAAATATGTATCCCAGATTCATTGTTATTAATTTTGTCATATTCATCAGTACTTGATGCTAATTCTTCTTTTGCCTCTTCATTGCTATCTTTTTGACTTAAATTGGTTTCATTAATAAAGCAAGATTCAATTTTTACCTTGCCCTATAGAGGCTCAAACAAGAGCGTCCCTTACGAGTCCTGAAAACAAATATAAGCAATTCCATATTCCATTTCTTACCCATTATAACAATTACATGGAAAGAGGCTATCAGAACTAGCAACTTTAACTTGAAAGATGTACATGCACGTAACCGTCCGCTAAATATCTAATGCACATCTAATACAATACGTTACCATCCATAGAATTCATACGTAGTCGTCTAACGACATTGCGTTTGAAACCTTATTATTTACAATATGACCACGTTCCTGTTCTGGATTTGTCATTCTATGGCTTGTTTATACACAGTTTACTTAGTGTTAATAGTTTGAGTGGCTCCGAGGCACATATACTGAGAAATCACTAAAAAATATGAACTTGGACATTTCAGTCGGTAAGTTTACAGCTTATATTCCTCTTCTAGCAAACTACATGTACCTGGCAGATTTGACCCAGTCTTTATAACCATCCATATATACGTCACCGAATGGAACTAGTTAAAAAGGAAATCTTATCTGTGAATCTTGCCTACAGGCGAGAAAGAGGACATGCTGTCTTTCCCATCCGCCACTTTTTGCTATCGTTACCGCAAAATTGTGAAAATCGCTTTGTCGTAACCGTCATGCTATAACACCGTGATTATAGTACTATTATTGTTTGACTGGCTTGAACTTCATTCAAACCCACTTTATAGTATACTATCTTTGTCTTACTTCCATTACTCCCCCCGACTGTTACTGTCAAGTCATCCAGGGATGCTCTAATGAACGGCCGCCAATTACCTAAACATGTTCTGCTTTCTATTTGAAGAATTTTTCGCTTATTAAAGGCCCCGTGTAAAATGCACTGGCTTATAATAGAAATAAAATTAGTACATTTTGTAACCCTATACCATCACAATTGTATTTATAAATCTATGAAATCTAATATGCATACAAATGAATGATTGAAATAGTCTAACCTGAGAGATATAATAAATATATGTCTCTGGTTTAACTCACAAATTAGTACAATTTATAGTGTTGTATTTGATGATATATATGTAAAACCTTTGCTACTTATAAAATGGTGGGAAATGAAATATTTGAGAATTAAGAAACCAACACATTTTTAAAGATAATTTTTTTAGAATAATGCCTCAAACAATTTTTTCATGACATTATACCAAGCCTTCCTTTAAAGTATCATACTAGGGATGTTTTGGTATTGGATACTAGTATTATATTTGGGACTTTTTTGTTTTTATATAAATCTTGTTTTTATATGAATCGTTTCCCTATTATTTGACTAAAATGATATACAGGATCAAAATTGTTTTTGAAATGACTGTTAAAATTGATAGAATAATCTTGATTTTTCAGAAATAAATCAATTATTTAATGGAGCAAACATCAGCTTTTTGTCAACTACAATTGAATTTTAAAAATTTGCAGTTTTGTGTTTTTGCCACAACAAACCAATTCTGTAATACTTTCATAAACATTATTTTCTCATACCCCACATACAAGTTCTAGGATTTAGAGAAACAAATAATTTTATCTCTCAAATGTTTGGATTAGCAAAAATAGGTCTGGGATATTCGGTTATTTTATTGATAACAGCTAGATTTGGACTTTTGAGTCACCAGTCCTGACAGATATAACAGTCAAGCCAAGTAAGTAAGTCAACATTCGAAAATAAAAATCTCAAAAATCGTACATCTTTGATTTCCAAAATAATTTGTGAGGTGGTTATTTAGATGATAATACACATTTTAACGCACTAATTTTGAGTACATCTCGAATCCATTCTCAACAAAGCGTTCTCGAAATAAGTATTCGAAATGTTTGAGTTCGGGATGATAAAAGTACGTTAAGATATACCGCTCCTTAACAAACTCCTCTAGGAACAAGATATAGAATCAAATGCATATTCTTCCTATTTATTCCCTGACACATGCCAATGAATGTTGCATAAGTAAATATCTCCGTTTTAAAAAATTTTGAAAACGTTGTTCTCTGCGGGTGCCATTTTTTATAATTGAAAAACAAAATTGAACAATTTGCATTTCTAAATTGATAAGTTTCTTGGAATACAACTTAACTGTAAACGATTTAAGTCATTATTAATATTTCCCTTAGTGAACCCATGCTGAATAGACAGTAACTGGGTCAATGTTTTGTGTTCAACCTTGTTTTCATGACTTTTAAACATGAGTCGACGATTATGTAGGAAATTTCATTTTCAAATGGAAGCGTGTCAACTCCTGTTTTTGCACAATATTTAGCCCTTTATAATGATAGATCGCCAAAATATGTATGTACCTCTCAATTAGGCGATATGTTTTTCAATTTATAGATGTAAACTATAAACTCAAACAAAAATTCAAACCACCCGCTCTATTATTTTGATTACACAAGACGAAATTTCCACTCCCGGGGAGCACTTTGGTATCACTTTGAAGGAGGATTCTTGAAAAATCGTTCGAATTTTCACAAAAGGTTTCACGTAATTTTATTGCTATGTTTAAGCCTCGACTTATATTATACTCAAATCCGATGCCATAATTATGAATCAAAATGAAACATTCAATTCACCAGGTTAAATAATAAACCGTTTTGAGAATTGATGATTTGAGTTAATTGTGGATATTTATATAAATGTAAGTTGGCATGTATTCGACAGTTAATGTACACACATGATGTATGCATCAACGTGTGACTTTTAATATCAATTCGTGACTATCACATTTGGCTTCAAAAAATTAAGTTGGAAATTACAGTGGTAGGAGATTAACGAAAACGTCAATCACATCCAAATATACGTACGACGTCAAGTATTAACAAAACACTTTTCGTGCATCTCGAACATGGCAAGGTTCCGTTATCCAGGAATGTGCATTTTGAAAGAAAAAATTCACAAATAACAAAAAATTTCATTGAGTAGGATATTACTTTCGAAATCACAACTTTCGAATTATTTTTTTTAACCAAGAATTGTAAGAACTTGAAACATGTTGTGAGTTTTTCAAACGGCATATCCTCATTCACGTTCTTTGACAAGGATGAATCCATTTGAAAACATGGATTTTCTTGATTATTCTTCAAAACTACCCTTGAGATATAAGTATGTAGGATATTACAGTGTAAATTGACACGCATTTGTTTGCTCGATATCCTGAACAAATAAATGCAGTACCGTCTTGCAATATTTGAAAACCGAAAGTTCATTCTGTGTGTTAACAAGAAAAAATACATTTATGGTTGGTTCATAATGAAAAATGACGAATAACGTATATCTTTTGAAGTAGGGGTATACAGGGACACAGTGGAAAATCAGAAATTTAGGTCATATCCCAAAGATTGCTTCACCAATATGTAACAGAACATCAAAATTATCATTTACACGTTTGCTGATAGGTTTACTGAAAATAATTAACCAGAGGTTTACTTCAATTGTGGCACCATTCTTAGTAAATATTGATGAACATACGAATATCGAATGTTGACTAAGTTACTTGTCTTGACCGATAAGCTGAAGTACATTTGTACATGATCTTGGGAATTTTATTCATGGGTTTGGTTTACTTTTAACTTATAATTTAATTAGTAACTTGTTTATGTATTCAATAAACCAAACATCCAAATACAAAGACAATAATCTCACTTTCAGAAATCACTGAGAAAATGTATGATCTTGGCTGTAAAATTAAAGCATATGAAGAAAGTAAAACAGAATCAGAACTAAAGAAACAAGCAGATCTAATGTGTGAACTGGGTGATGAGTTCATGGAATCAGCTGAAACCTCTCCAACCTGGTATGAACATTATGTCTGGGCGTCTGGTCTCTTTAATGCTGCAAAATGTCGTCAGCCTACCGAGACATTATGGCTAAAGGTAAAGGATTTAACTTCATCCAGTCCAAGCTCAATTTATAGTCACGATTATATTGACCAAAGAATACAACAAATTGACACCAATTTCCTAAATAAACTGTCTAAGAAGAATACGATGTCAACACGTAAACTCACAAAGAAGTACAAAGAGGCACTTGAAACAATACGTAACTACTCAGAAAACACTGTGAATAACATCATTGACAATGACATGGTTGTAGATGATGTTACATCAGAGATCAAGCCTGAATATGAAGACAAAACAATAGAACATAGTAAGGTCTACTATAATGATCTCACAGAGAAGCTTTTAGAATTTTATAGGTCAATTATCACAAATTGTATGTCTGTTTTAGATCTTCAGAATTGTAAATACAGGGTTGCTATTATGGCTTTAGGGTCACTGTCCCGTAAAGAAGTGACAGCTTATTCTGATATAGAGTGGGCAATATTGTATGATCCATTAGGCCAGCCAGATGCACTAGTTAGAGATGAGTTACGTATGTTAGTTTATTATGTTCATCTCCATGTACTCAATCTAGGTGAGACCATTTTGAACAATCTTGACATTCCCGTGTTAACAAACTTCAATGACAAATTGCTACCAAGACCCAATATGACTGATGTAGACTTTAGGGACAATGTTACGACAAGAGGTATCTCACTTGATGGAACACACCCTTTAGCAAGTAAGACACCAATAGGACGAAAATCAAGAAAGAACCCTACGAAACCAGAAACACTAGAACTTATAATGACATTAGATGAAATGACCAAATACCAATTCACTGATGAATCATTAAAAGAGGGGTATCGTCTCAGTGATGTGTTGATGAACTCAGCATTGATTACAGGAGATGACACCCTCTGGCATGATTACAATGACAAGGTTCATTCCATATTACAACAAAAACAGTCCAAGAGACCAAACATGTCAATAGGTGCAGAAAGGGCCATGGAAACACTAAATGATGACTTAAAGAAATTTCTTGAAAAGCCGCTTACTAGTGAATCATTTAGTATGGCAATGCATACCAAACATGATGTATATAGATTAACAACCATCTCTATAAACATCCTTAAGCTACTACACGGTTGTAAATCTTTTGCTCCCTTAGATGTCCTTGATGAGTTATTTGAAAGAAATATCTTAACTGAAAGAGCTAAAAAGGATTTGCAACTCATGGTTTGCATTGCAACCAATCTCAGACATATGGTGTACAGTAAATATAAACAACAAAAAGAAAACATATCATTTTTGTTAAGTAAATCTGATAAAGATTCAATAGACTCGACAAATGTTTTACCTGTTAGAGGATACACTGCAATTATTCAATTTTACACTATATTCAAGCCATGGTCTAATTTTTTGGTCTCTCAGAAAAACAACACTAAGTCATGGACACATCAAGAAAGGTACATGGAAGATAGCAATGTCGTTAAAGGTGAATTATACAAAGACATGTATTTTTCAGAAAAGGCAGTATTTGCTTATCAAAGAGAATTAGAAAAGCACAGAAAACTTGCTGAACATGGAAATAAGCAAGTAATAATCTCCCTTCAACTTGAACTTGGTTTATTATACCAAACACGTGCTGAGTTTAAAGATGCTTTGCAGATTAATAATGAGGCTCTGGTCATTTGTAAGACAATTTATGGAGATAACCCACACAAAAGTGTAGCAACATCCTTACATAATATAGGTTCTGTGTATGATGACATGGGAGAGTATACCAAAGCAATGAAATATTATGAAGATAGTTTATCAATGGAAATGAAGATCCATGGAGATAACCCCCACCCAAGTGTAGCATCATCCTTACATAATATAGGTCTTGTGTATGCGAAAATGGGTGAGTACATCAAACCAATGAAATATTATGAAGATAGTTTATCAATGAATTTGAAGATCCATGGAGATAACCCACACCCAGATGTAGCATCATCCTTACATAATATAGGTCTTGTGTATAAGAATATGGGAGAGTATACCAAAGCAATGAAATATTATGAAAATAGTTTATCAATGGAGATGAAGATCCATGGAGATAACCCACACCCAGCTATAGCAGCATCCTTACATAATATAGGTTCTGTGAATGACAACATGGGAGAGTATACCAAAGCAATGAAATATTATGAAGATAGTTTATCAATGGTAATGAAGATCCATGGAGATAACCCACACCCAGCTATAGCAGCATCCTTACATAATATAGGTCTTGTGTATAAGAAAATGGGAGAGTACATCAAAGCAATGAAATATTATGAAGATAGTTTATCAATGAGAATGAGGATCCATGGCGATAACCCACACCCAGATGTAGCAACATCCTTACATAATATAGGTTCTGTGTATGACAACATGGGAGAGTATACCAAAGCAATGAAATATAATGAAGATAGTTTATCAATGAGAATGAGGATCCATGGCGATAACCCACACCCAGATGTAGCAGCATCCTTACATAATATAGGTTCTGTGTATGCCGACATGGGAGAGTATACCAAAGCAATGAAATATTATGAAGATAGTTTATCAATGAAAATGAAGATCCATGGAGATAACCCCCACCCAAGTGTAGCATCATCCTTACATAATATAGGTTCTGTGTATGACAACATGGGAGAGTATACCAAAGCAATGAAATATAATGAAGATAGTTTATCAATGAGAATGAGGATCCATGGCGATAACCCACACCCAGATGTAGCAGCATCCTTACATAATATAGGTTCTGTGTATGCCGACATGGGAGAGTATACCAAAGCAATGAAATATTATGAAGATAGTTTATCAATGAAAATGAAGATCCATGGAGATAACCCCCACCCAAGTGTAGCATCATCCTTACATAATATAGGTTCTGTGTATGACAACATGGGAGAGTATACCAAAGCAATGAAATATTATGAAGATAGTTTATCAATGAACATGAAGATCCATGGAGATAACCCCCACCCAGATGTAGCAGCATCCTTACATAATATAGGTTCTGTGTATGAGGACATGGGAGAGTATACCAAAGCAATGAAATATTATGAAGATAGTTTATCAATGGAGATGAAGATTCACGGAGATAACCCACACCCAAGTGTAGCATCATCCTTACATAATATAGGTTCTGTGTATGACGACATGGGAGAGTATACCAAAGCAATGAAATATTATGAAGATAGTTTATCAATGAAAATGAAAATCCATGGAGATAACCCCCACCCAGATGTAGCAGCATCCTTACATAATATAGGTCTTGTGTATAAGAAACTGGGAGAGTATACCAAAGCAATGAAATATTATGAAGATAGTTTATCAATGAGGATGAGGATCTATGGAGATAACCCACACCCAAGTGTAGCATCATCCTTACATAATATAGGTTCTGTGTATAACAACACAGGAGAGTTTACCAAAGCAATGAAGTACTATAATGAGTGTTTAGCTATTGAAAGGAAGGTATATGGGAGTGATTCACATCCTGAAGTTGCAAAAACTTTGAGAAATATAGACAGATGTCAAGAAGCTCAGATTAATCAACCAAAATAGCATTTTCAACAGTTTTCTCATCAACTTCAATCCAACCGAAAATTTGAAGCAAAAAGCAATATTACCACCCACTCCATATTAATAAGCAATAATTACATAAAAATGTCAAACAAAAATAAAAATGTCACAATAATTTCACCCAAACCTTGATTATGACACACTGTAATATTTGCATACATTAAAAACATATTTTATTTGATTACATAATCTGACAATGTATAACACAAAACACATATAATTACTGACTACATACTTGCATTTATAGTCATAAATAACAGTAAGAAAACATGGTAAAGAAACAAACGTTTGACAATGTATCACATACCAAATGTGAAATATATTTCTAATCAGAGATGGGAACATTGTATCTTTCATCAATGAACTGGTTAATGGACATTCACTGCTGAGTAAGAAGTGGAATTTCCTATTAACATTCATTCTGATACTCATAGCATCTCTCTCTGTTGCATCACAGAAGGATAGAGATGGAGAGGGCGTGGGTTACCACGATGATTAACATGATTAACATTACCCCAGACAGGTTGAATGAGGCAGTCATGTTTTTACTCTATATTTGCTTTTTTAGGATGTGGCCCAGAGTGACAAGTTTTTCATTTACCTAATGCACTGAGATATCATATTATGCCTATTGAACATGACAAAAATGAATAACAATAATCAGTCAATTATTAATATGGCAACAAATATATCTGGAAAGACTTTAGGCGGCCAAAAATTGAAATAACGTTAAAAGTTCAATTGTTCAAGCAAAAACCTGTATTTTATTGACAGTGAAGTGTTTTTGAAAAAAGTCTGTCAAAATCATAAAATTATGAATTTTGTTAAAAAAAATTTTCCATGTTGGAAATGGTCTCTAGAATAAATCTTGAAAATTTCAATAAGAATGGTTGTTCCATTGAACATATAGAGTAAAAAACATGACTGCATCATTCAACCTGTCCGGGGTACTATAGTCTAGGTTGGACATAATAGCTGGAAAAATACTCATTTATGTAGGTGGACTAAGGGGGAAGTCTGGACAGACACTGAGAAAGATAGATAACCAGTATACAATATGACTGCACTTAATCATTGAGAAAGATAGATAACCAGTATACAATATGACTGCACTTAGTTATTGAGAAAGATAGAGGACATACAAATATGACTGTACTTAGTCTAGTGAGAGTGTCTGGAATGACTCTTTGAAAGATGACATGAAATATGACTGAACTTGACCATCACAAAATTCTGCACATTTTACTTTCACGTGGTCACTTTTTTAATAAGATGATGTACATGACTTGGTTTAACATATGCAAATACATCTCATGTTTTCTTGTTTTTATGTATTAGACATAGGCTCATTTGAAAATGTGACCAAGGCATAAACTAGTCAAATTTTAGTAAGAGACCAGTCAAATTTTGCAAAGTCTGTAAAAGAAGAATGTTAAAATTAAAAGTGCAAACCAAATCTAAGAAGAATGCCCACTCTATATCAGAATTTAAAACATGGATTTCATATTAATGGCCATTAATTGAGGAAGTTTTTGAAAATCACTTTACATATTCCTCTAACCTTGTATCTTAGTTGTGATCTAGTATCTGTTTATTTTCAAGACATTTTAGTTTACATATTTCTCATGGAATAGCTGTTTATAATTTTAAATTTAAATTGTACATTTTGAAAATTTAAAATTATAAACAGCTGTTGCACATTAGGTTGTTACGGTGAAAGCTCTTATCCCTGATTCAATAAAAGACTAAAAGATTTCCAAAATGCAACTGCAGCATCTGTTTAGGTGATACGATGAAACCATGTTCAATTAATTCATATGATGATATTAAGCTTGACCTAGAGAGAGAATCAAGTGACCCTAGTGCCTTAAAATGGATATTGTATATATAACATAATGTATAGCCCATATTAGTTATTATGTAAAAAGATCTGGATCATACAGGACTATCCTTCTTTCCAGAATCATAGGTATAGATATATAAGTTGGCTAAAAGCCTAGAACAGAATTTTTAAGCAGTGGTAAAGAGTGACAAACCTGAGGTCCGGGAATGAAGTAATAAATGTATTAAAAAAGAATCGTATTCCCTGTAAAAAGCGCTCAGTGTACTTTCGGAATTGAAATTTCCATTGTATCCCAACACAAAGTGTGCCCATGTAGCCCATTGGTTTGAAAAGGTAATTAGAAAGGATTTAGATTAGTATTTCTTATCATGTTATGTCAATCATTCATCCATCTTTTTCATCTTTATTCATGTGTTAGTAGGCTAGTGCATACCTAGTTACCTAAACAATTTATTACTACTCCCGGACCTCAGGTTCAAACAATGTAAGCAGTCCAGAAATATATTTATTCCAAGTTTTATCTAATCTTTTGCAACTACTTTATCTTTACCAAACTAACTGATAATCTAAATGTTTTTTTGGTGAATATAAAAGATGGCTTTTACTGATTGGCCATATTGTTTGCATGTCTGTACTGCGTCACCTTTAACCACTGTGGAAAACAGATTATTATTTAGTGCATATTATTTATACAGTACATGTATATGAGATCAATAACATTTTTAAGAATGGAAGTGTTCGGTTGTATTTTCCCTTTCCTGCTAGAAAAAATGAATGAGTCTCTGACATGAGTATCTGACATGAATATCTGACATGAGTATTTGACATGAGTATCTGACATGAGGCAAACCAAAGTTCTAAAAAATATTCATTCAGACATTTTTGTTTCAATTAAAAATGTGAAAACAATGTCTTATGAATTTTCTTTTATCTACTGTCTCACCTATTTATATATGACTTGCCAATTTTTAGTTCCTGCAGGTCTGTAGCCAAGGGGGGGGGGGGTCATTTTTGACAACTTTGGCTCAGAATGGTGAAAAACTATGATTTTGAAAGAATTTTTGTCCAGTGTTAGAACCCCCCCTGGCTACGGGCCTGTCCTGGTTATGGATTTGAACAATTATTAAATCCTCCAATACTGTATGCTTATTGACTTTTTATGGTACATGATATGAATTAGATGAACTTACTGCCTTGAAAGTTCATTGCAAGAAAGATGAAAAGACTAATAAACACTCGCAACAAGTCATCAGTCGATAGAACTGATTTTCTTGCATGTCTTACTTAAATGGTTAATAGGAGTTTAAAAACTATCAGTAAAAACAAACATTGTTGTGTAATCTGAAATGTTGAAACTGAATGCTCTTGTATTGTTTCTTTTTAGTAAACATATCCTGTCCACTGACATGTTTCCCAAGCCTGCAGCCTTTGAAACACATCAGTGGACAGGATATTCCAGTAGGACAACAATTTTGCTTAATTTTTCATAATGTGAAAAAGTGTAAACATTTTTCAGATATTTTGTAAACTTGCATATTTTGGCAGTTTGATTTAAATAAACTGGATGGCTCATGATAGAATTTCCAAGCACAGGACTCAATGTTTTCTGGGTGATTTATAATTAAACTGAGGCTGACAAGAAAATCCCAAATCATTGAGAACTGTGGTTAAATTGTTTACACATGGTAAACAGTTTGATAAACATTATGGAAATGAAGGTTATTTTTCATTGTAATCTGGCCAAATACAATCGCATATGTTGATGGTCAAAAAGCTACTTTATGCACCTCTCATATGTCTAATGCTATGTTTGATGGGCAGTGCCCAGATATTCTTTTAGTACAAAAAACTTATCAGAGAATGCATATAAAGGCCAACTGTGTTCTTGAAATTGATCAAAAATTATTTTCACAAAGTGATACAGAATGGTTAGCTATAATATTGCTCAAATGAGCAAAACTTATGCAAAGCTTTCCAGAATTCAAGGTTACAAACAACATGTAAAAAATATGTTTTCAATTTCTTAACATTTTTCATATTTCAATTTATACAGAACCTGTATAACATAATATTGTATAATATAATACAATGTACACAATAATTACAATATTTAGTTTTGACATAAAAAAGTGAACATTTGTTATATCACAGAGAGACATATGAGTTTCACTTTCTTGTATTTATACCTATGTTAAGATAGTCTTGTCTTGATTCACTTATATAGGATTTCTTTATCTCTTTAAATTGCTTTATTATCAACGCTCACCAAGAATTGACGATCTTGCATGTGTACTTGCTCATGCAAGAACCTCTATATACAATATATTGTATATACACTGTAATATTTACAATTAATTCAATAAAATAAATAAATACTTTATACAGCTGTACATGCTCTTATTGTCATAATGTCAAAAAATACTAAAATAAGTACAACATCAAATCTGAATATACAACAATTGTAAGCTTAAAAATAATGAGTACTCTAGGTAGATCTTGTGTAAAAAATAAATAAAAATATACAATCTGGGCATATGTGATGTATATTACTTTTGAATATGTTCAGGACGGAAGATATTCTTTACAATATGTTCAACTAAAACATTTTCCCTTTTCTGGCGAAATGTGAGACATTACGTATGTGCAGACTTATTGAATCATAATGCTACAATTGTTGTCATATTGTAGCATATTGTTCCAGTTATTGTAGCATATTGCTCCTATTGTACAAATTGTAATCAGCTCATCTAGCAAAGATGAAGACAAGGGACGGTCTTCATATTATAAGGCACTAGCTTATATTATAGGAATATTCTCATGGTAGTCCAAATAACTCAATAGTCATTGAAACATATAAGATATACGAGTATATCAATGTCAAAATGTTCTATAATACAATAGCTTTTAACCACCTTCACTAACATTAGCTCCCTGAAAAACCACCAATATTTGATAAGTCCCTTATGACTATGAGATCATTAAGTGATGTTTTAAATCATCAGTGTATCCACGTCATCTTTTCCTTATAAGGGATGCCACATAGACCCATACAGAGAGCACTGAGTTGGGATACGCATGTACATGCACAGCCAACGCAAACTCCACATCTGACGATTCATTAAACCATACACCTGTAGAGTAGACAGTCTCTATAATGGGTTCAAGGTCTGTAAAAGGGAGGTTAATAGGGAAGCCTGATAGTTTATAGTTGCTGAGTATGGAGGCAAGCTCTTGTATTGTCTCATCCTGCATTCCTTTGCCTCTTGTAGCCTCCAGCCTGGAATATACAATAGCAATTGCATTAGGTCATAATGACACAGAGAATAGACCATCAATTTCTGTTTTAAAAGCATTTGTTAGTCAATAATATTTTCTGACAAGTTTACATCATCATAAGTATGTTATAAATCATTTATCATAATATCATTATATCTCAAGGCATATATGACACAATAATGACAAAACCTCTAATTACAAATTGCTGTTATACAGTATAGGCCCTTTCCATGCAAATTTTAATTACATAATATGTCAGTTGAGCATTTGTGAATGGAAAATGTCTACCTACCTTGGT